AAGGGGGGGAGGCACGAAGAGGGAGAGCTCGCGCCGCCAGCCTGGCAGAGTGTCTACAAACCTTTGATCACCACCATGTTTGGGCTAGTTGTTGATCTGCTTTGTATCTACATCAGCTTTGGTTGCTCAGGATCTCTTTCACATGCACACCCTGGTCGCTGTTGATGACAAAGCTGACAACGCAAGAACAATGGTATTAGCTACCGATCACGCCTTGGGTCACCATCACCACCGCCATCGCAAGCCAACACCACTATCGCTCATCCCTCAACCATCCCCCCCCCCCAACACACACACACTACCCCACCTCATCCATCCCATCCATGCTATCCATCAAACCCCCCCCTCTCCGCAAAAACCAAAAACACCAACGTCGGATTAATCGTTCGTTCGGCTTTGACAGCGTGCGGCGGCGGCGGGGGAGGGGGCGGACGATTGGGCGAAGCGACTCGACTCTGTGACACGCGGACAGCCAAGCCAGGAGGACTGCAAGCGGTAGAGGTACGGGCATCATGTCCGAGTACGGTATAGAGTTTGTAGACCCAGAGGCGACTGTTCCACCTCATGGACGTAATCGACACTCTGCCGTTGTTGTCGGGACAAACATGATGGTCTTTGGTGGTTATGCTGGTCGCCGTCTCGCTGACGTCCAAGTCCTCAACTTAGGTAAGTTCCTCCAACGGTCACCCGGGCATTCTTCAATTATTTCTCATTCATTTTATCATTCTTCAATTATCTCTCATGGAATTAATCGTTGTTCCCCCCTCCCTCCCGCTGCTACACACACACACACACGCAGCCCGTGGCAGACGCCCTCTCCCCCCATACTCACACTCACACCACCCATACCGTATAATTGGCCAACAACACATGCGCGGTGCTTGTCTCGCTGGTCGGGGGTGGGCGGAACACGCGAACGGGCGCTGCGGTGGATGGGTATGATTATATTACGATGAATTAATCGTTGCAACGCGAATGGCATTGCGGCACGTGCCGACGGACAACGGGCGATGAATGGCTGCGATAGAGACCATGACCTGGGCATCTGAAGTCAAGGTTGTGGGCGAGTCATCGGTGACCGGGACTGGGAGATGGGGTCATACTGCTGTGGCACTCGGAGCCAAGGTCTACTTCTTTGGCGGCTTTGTGGGCGTCCGGACCTCGGATTTGCTCGTCCTCAACACCGAAGTCGCTGACAAGACCAAGAAGAAGAAGAAGAAGAAGACTGGTGGGAAGAAGAGAGAGACTCCGCAGCTGTCTGCAGGTCGTCGTCGCGGCCGTGCTTCTGCCGGAGGATCAGCTTCGCGCGGGGATCGGCTCGGAAGAAGCGGAAGAAGGGCGTCGTAGACGAGGCCACCATGGAAGAGAAGAAGATCAAGCATGCGCTGGCGGCACTGGCTGCCAGTGGTGATGGTGGGGCTGGTGGAAGTGAGCCTGGTGCTGTGGGGTCGGGCGGAGTTGATGCGGCTGTGGCTGCTGGTGGTGGCGCTGCTGATGCTGCTGCCGATGCCCCCGACGCGTCTGCCGATGTCGCGGAGGCCGCCGGCGCACAAGGCGGCCGAGTAGCGGCGACTACGCTTGTCCGTCTCGGGGCGCTCAAGGACATTGGCGCGGTGACGGTTGAGTGGATGAACACCATGATCACGCGCGGCGCCCAGCCGTCGAAGCGCCACTCGCACTCTGCGGTCGTTGTGGGCGCTGACATGTACGTCTTTGGTGGCTCGATCTCGATGAAGGAGCGAGTTGCAGACATGCACTGCCTCAATCTCGAAACACTGGCCTGGTCGCGGGTCGGCCTCGGCGACGACGCCAGCGCTGCAGCCCGGTCGTCATCCGAGGTCCCGGACACCCGCTACGCCCACAGCGCAGTAGCCGTCGGCACCTCGATCTACATCTTTGGCGGCTCACACTACTCGATCCACGGGCTTAACGACATGTATGTCTTTGACACGCTCACCTCGACGTGGTCACGGGTTGCCACCGTCGGCATTCCGCCGACCCGCCGCTACTATCACGCCACCGCTGTGGTTGGCACCGACATCTACATCTTTGGTGGCTTTGATGGCTCGCCGCGCGTCTCGGACGTCCACGTCTTCCGCACGCTTACGTCGACCTGGGAGGCCATCACCACCTACGGCCCGCATCCGTCGCCGCGCCATGGCCACACAGCCGTCACCTGCCCGGCTTTTCCGGGCACCGTCTTTCTCTACGGCGGCTTTGACGGCTCGCAACCATGGTCCAACGAGCTCTTTGTCTATGACACTGTCACTGCCACCTTTTCACGCCCGGACGTCCGCACATCGCTACATCGCTCGTTTGACGCCATCGTCGCCTCGGTCCTCACGCCCGACACCGCTGACGCCGACGCCGACGCCGACGCGGAACCGAGCAAGGCGGCGGCGACCGACGGTGACGCGGCCGGTGCTACGCCGACGACGTCTACAGAAGCCAAAGTCAGTGCTTTGCCGGCAACAGGCAGCGGCGAGGCAAGACCGACCCAGCCGGCGGCCGCACGTAAGCCGGCAGGCTCGACTATCGCACCGGCGCCGGCGCCCGAGCCGGCAGCCGTTCCGCGGCAGCTCGGCCTCGACGACGGCGCCGGCGTGGCCATGCGTGTCGAGTAAAGCGTAAACCGAGACGATGGATGGAGGGAAAATGGGTTTACTCTCCCGCACTACAAGTTGGGATAGTTGAGCCAGTCTTCGATGCCGGCAAGCGTGTTGGGCTCGCCGCGGAGCGCGTGGCGCTGGGTAGCAGTGGCGGTGTAGACTGCACGGCGGATGTCCTGTAGAAAGCCGAGCGGCTGGTGAGCAACGAGCGAGAGCCACGGATTGAATGACATGTGGCGGCAAAAGGCAAGATGCGGGGCATCCCAGACGTAGGCCGTCGGCCGCGGGAGGAGGATCTGGCCGAGGGTGTGCCACGGCGAGCTCCAGCGAATGGTGGTGTCGTTGATGGGGGTCGAGTGGGGCGAGACAAAGAACTGGACATCGATCTCCATGCACACGGCCTTGTTGGCAGGCAGGTCCATCCAGATGTCGCGGATGAGGTTATCGGTGAGAAAGTTGGCGTCAAAGAAGGCCTTGGGCAGCGGGCCGTGAAGCTTGCGCAGATGAGCGCGGGTGGAGGCGCAAGGACGGACTCGATACTTGGCCGGTGTGTCACCGTGCATCTGCGCCGGCGCAGTGTAGTAGGTAGCGGTGAGCACGTTCTGGATGGCGCCGTAGACCGAGGTCTCGGCGAAGCCCTTGCCGACTGACGGGTGGAGGAGCAGGTACTTTGAGAGTGCGGTGGCGCCTTGCTGGACGGCCTTGAAAAACCCGACGGCGAGCTCGGGCGTGGCGAGAAAGGCTGTGGGGGAGGTGGTAAAGGTAAACGCCTGCGTGTTGTTCGACTCCATCACAAACTCGCCGTCAACGTTGAAGATCTTGAGCGCAAAGCCTCGTGTGTCCGGCACGGCATCCGACTCGTTGGCGACAATGGGCGGAGCGGCGAATCCGCGGCCGACTCCGTTGGAGAAGCGAACAAAGAGCGGGTAGCTCGCGCCAGGAGTAAAGATCCCTCCCTCGAGCTCGGCCGGGAGATTGTCGGCCACCTGAAGATGGCCTCGAATGCATCCATGCTGCTTGGCATGCGCCTGGCGGAGCCAATTGCTTGGCGCCTGAGAAAACTGATTTGACATAGAGTGTTCGAAAATGCCTTGCACCACGCTCGGCACATCCTGTCCGGCGGCAACGGCGGAGGCAAGGGCAAGGGCAAAGAGGGCGACAAAGGCCAGTGCAATGTTGTGCATGACTTGCTTTTCACGTGAGTGGGAGTCTTTCGCGTGTAAAGTGTAGCGGCTCTCGAGCTCGCTCGCGGTCGACGGTGTTTTGGTTGCGCAACACGTGCAGGGAAAAAGCGGTGGCGCCATCGGAATGGTGTGGAGGTCACGTGGTGTCCTTTTGTAAACAGAGCCGAGTGAGGGGAAGGGGGGGGGGGCACGGCGATGGCCCAAGAGACGCGCAGTGCGTACTCAAGGGTGGGTAGGGGGCGGAGGGGCGGTATGATCGCGACGGGCGCGGTGATGTCAGTGGCGGACAGGGGTGACAGCAAGAGCGGCGAGGGCCTCGCGGCGGCGGCGCAGATTGGGGAGCTCGTCGGTGTAGCCGCCGGGGCGAAGAGAGGCGCGCCAGGCGGGCTTGAGGTTGAGAAAGGTCTCGCGAACGTAAAGGTCTTGCTTGGAGCCCGAGACGTGCGAGAGATCGGCATGGCGGGCCCTGTCGAGCGGCTTGGGCTTGGCAAAGGTGGCCTTTGCGGCGACAGCGGCGGCGAGCTTCCGCTTTGAGTCCGCCATTCGGCGGGCTGACTCGATGGCATGGACGGCTTCCATGTCAACGTCGCCCCCGCGACCGGCCTCTGCCTCCTCACGCAGATACTCAGCTTCGCGGGCGGCCTTGATCTCCTCCTGGCGGCGGCGACGAGCAGCATCGGCCTCTGCAGCAGCGTGAGCCTTGTCGCGGTCCTTGCGAGCATTGATGCGGTGAATTTCAGCAGCATGGAGCTTTGCGTAGGCCTTGACCTTTTCAGCAGTCTCATCGATGACCTTGAGGTCGCCGTATGTGTAGTCAAAGATGATCTCTTCGACCTCTTCCAAGTAATCGTTGTACGCTCTGTCCGAGTCAAACTCCTTTCGATCCTTGTTGTACACCTCGAGCACTTTCTTCCGAATATACACATCCCTCTCCACAGCACCATCAGCAAAGGTAGGCTTTCGATAATCGCTCCGATTGACAAGACGAGCACAGGTAGGACACTTTGCTGCCTTTGTGGTAAAGGCTCGCGCAAAGCACTTTGAGCATCGTTTGTGCCCACACACCACAGAGACAAGCAGCTCGAGTCGGGAAAAGTGCAGCTGTGTCCGACACTCGGGACACACGCTATCTCCCTCGGTCTCGTCCATACTCGTGGCTGGTGGTGTTGGGGTGTGGTGTGGTGAGGTGGTGGTGCGAGGGGGGGCTGTGTTGGTAGGGGGGGGGCGGGGGTAGGGTAGGGACGACGTCGG